CATACAGAACCTTCATTCTGAAGGTCTTCTGGATTCATTTGACTTAGAGTCTCTTGAATCTTGCGAGTCTTGTTTGATGGGCAAGATGACAAAGCATCCTTTCAAGGGGAAAGGACAGAGAGCGACAGAGTTATTGGATCTGATACATAGTGATGTATGCGGACCAATGAGCTGTCCGGCTAGAGGAGGGTATATGTATTTCGTTACGTTCACTGATGATTTCAGTCGATACGGTTATGTCTATCTGATGAGACATAAGTCTGAAACACTTGAAATGTTCAGAGACGTCTTTTCTCGGTCCGTCTGTCCCAGAGTCTGGTCCAGGGCTGACCAACTCTTGGTCAGCCGGACCAGATCTGGACAGGCGACCTCGGACTGCTCCTCCGGACTGCGTGATCTGACCAGACTTGGTCCGGGGCTGACCAAACTTGGTCAGCTCCGGACCAACACACTGAAAACTCCTTTTCATGCTCGTTTCGGTCAAATCTCGTTTTCATTCTTCGTATTCTTCACGTATAAGTCCATCCCTCTTGGTGTGTGACCCTGTAGGCCCATTCTAAGTGGTAGTGACTTTAGGAACCTTTCCCGAACCACAAGTCATGGTTAGCCTCTAGCAAGACGCCATGACCACCCATTTAGAATTGAGTTAGAGGTGATCTAACCAAGGCATTAACAGCTCGAATTCTGATCCTTTTGTCTCACGATATCATAAGTTGAACAAGGGCATGGTTTGAGCCACCCTTCAAGTTCAACTGCTTTCTCGTCTTGGCAAATCGACTAATAAAATAGATGCAACTTCATCTATAGCGTGGCCACGCGTTTTCATAGTCCGACTTCCACGAGAGGGCCCAGCGATATCTCTCCTGTTAAGGAAGTGACAAGTCCCATATTGCATGTCTACTATCTCCATATGATTCGTGAACGTGTCTGATCAACGCCGTTATAATCATCCGGTTAAAGACGACGTTTGACGCAGTCAAGACACGCCACTCCTCATATCAGATACTCTAGACATCTCAGGTCTGAGGATCCAAGAACGAACCGCTGTATGAGATTCAAGTCATGACTCTGTCCATGTGACAATCTCATGCGGGTCATCCAGTCACTCGTTCACAACGAGTACCCATGATTGTGATATGCATCCAATGCATCGATCACTCCTCATGCTAGTCTTAATTCAACATTGTTCCCACAATGTTGACTGACTAGGGAGTTTAGAATCATTCGCTAATAATTCAAGGATGCCGAAATATAACAAACATGCCAATCATATAACGGGAATGTAATGTATTCATGAATCAATGAATCAATACAAAGTCAAAATGTCATATTACGGATTATCCCAGAGCATTACAACCAACAATTATAGCAATGTGAGATTTTTTTTTTCAGAACAAATATAACATATTTATATTAAAAAATCTATATTTTCTGTCACTTGCCAATGTGTGTGTGTATATATATATAGTGTGTGTGTGTGTGTGTTTTTGTAGTTGCATGCTTTGGTTGCATGCACGACAGAAGGAAGGACAAGTGTCTGAGCTTTGTAAGCCACCAAACTGAATCCCGACCAGTTTTTGTTACCCATCTTGTTTGGCACAAAGGACTTCCATTTTTTATTTTTTAAAATTTTTATTTTTGTGTTTAATGAGCCAAGCTAGCCTCTCTTTTGGTTTATTGTCCAAATCGTATATATACAGACAGTCCAAAATTTTTGAAAATTGTGGAGAGAATTTCGTGGGTCCATAAAGAATATGATTTTGGACAGCACATTATGATGGTTTTGTTCCTATACATTTAATAATATATATATATATATATATATATATGGTTATTGCATGCCAAGTGTATATATGCTGTTAAATAATAATAAGAATAATTGATAATATGATTAACTAAATATATAATAAAAACTTAATGCTATAAAAAAATTCTAATCAAATAGAAATTATAATAATATACAAATTATCTAATTATATAAAATCTCCGTATTTTCTAATTTATACCACCCAATTTTCTTTTTATTCAAAGTTTAACTGTACTCCTTTTATAACATAAGCACATGACACTAATCAAATGGAACATTCACAAAAAGAAATAAATATTGAACATCTTAATTTTCTTATATACATCTAATACATGTTGTAACATACAATGAAGGAGCGTTTTGCTGTTTTTTGTTCTTTGGTTCCACGTTGAAAAAACCCATCTGAATACTTCCGAGATTATAGAAAATACTATTCTGTGCGTAAATGTGTGATATTAAAAATGTGGTTAATAGAGAAATTATTAATTCTGTAATCACTGATTAATAAATTGCCATTGAATTTGATGGAGAATCCAAAATAAGATTTGAGATTGAATGGAATAATATAAGGTTTTATACATTTCTCTAATAAACCATTGTCTGTCGACGGTGTCTCTACAGTAATCAAAAACAATATTTTCTATGTTTATTTTCAACATTTAGCCGTTTAATTTGAACTTTTGATATAATACACATGATAGTTTTTTTTTTTTACGATAGAACATATATATATATATATATATATATATATATATATATACATGGTATATCTAAAGATGTGGATATCTGTAATGTGATTCTAAGAGCGCTGGGAAGGAGAAAGTTTTTCTCACACACGATGGATCTGTTGCGGCGAATGGCATTCGAAGGGGTTAACCCCAACCTGCAGAGCTTAACTATTGTTATGGATTACTTTATCAGGGCTAATTACGTGCAGAGGGCACTGAAACTGTTTGAAGAATGTGAAGAGTTTGGGGTCCAATGTGATACCGAGCTTTTGAACAAACTCTTACGGTGTCTCTGTGAACGTTTGCAGACACACTTGAGATGTTTGAAGAGATGTTGTCACGTGGTATCGCTCCAACCACGGGGGTCACCACTTCTTTCCTTAAACCGCTATGTAGCTATGGTCCACCTCACGCTGCATTGGTTTTCTATCAAAAAGCAAGAAAAGCGGGTTGCAGCATATCGCAGAGCGCTTATAAACTGTTGCTTCGAGGCTATCGAGATTTGGGAAATGCGGGACATTGTTAAACGTGTGGGACGAGATGCAAGAGAGTGGTTATGCTTGCGATGTGCGAGTATATGAGTACATAGTTGATTGACTATGCAACATTGGGCATCTGGAAAACGCTGTCCTTGTGATGGAAGAGGCAATCCGAAAGGGATTTTGCCCGAACCGGCTTGTTTATAGCAGACTGAGCAACAAACTCATGGCTTCTAACAAAACAGAGATGGCCTATAAACTGTTTCTAAGTATTAAAGAGGCTCGAGGTCGGGAAAATGCCCGCAGATATTGGAGGTCGAACGGATGGCACTTTTAAGCTTAATGTTTCATCTTTTGTTGGTTTAAAGGGGTGGCATTTTCTTTCAGCAAGTTGATATTTTGAGACAGAAACAAGTTGAACAAAATCAGACCACGTAGTCACCGACAACCTCGGCTTCCAAATCCCAACTCCCAAAAAAACTGGGAAGATTCGTTCGATCGCTTGCACTCCACGAAAGTGATTATTGACTTCGAAAGGTCAAATTCCCTCTTGGATTTTGGCTCGAATTTCATCCATCTGGCTAATAATCCCAAATTCCTTTCTCCCAGACATCTTATCTGAATGAATTTCCATTCAGTGGTTTTTTAGGTTTTCAAAATATCTCAATTTCAAAATTTGATGAACGAATTTTAAAAAACCAGCTGGTTTTTGAAAATCTGATGCAAGGAAACGAAATGGAAACAAGAACAGCTGTCATTAGCGCTAACGGTAACATTAATAATTAAATACATGTTAATTAATAATGTATAACAAATCAGGCCGTTGGAGAGATCTTCCCAAACCCTCTTTCCATATCTTCTTCCCTCTCTCCCTCTGCTCTCACTCTGCTCTCTCTCTCTCTCTCTCTCTCTCTCTCTCTCTCTCTCTCTCTCTCTCTCTCTCTCTTTTCTTTCTTTTTTAATTTATTTAAAAAAATGTGGAAAAAATATAATATGGGGAGAGAGAATATATAGTTTAATTTAAAAAAACGCCTTTTTAAAATAATTTGACAAAATTATTTTTGAGAAACTAATTTGGTTTGGACCATTGAATCAGTTTAGAAACTAGCTGTCAACACTACAGAATTTCGATGCCCATAAACAAATAATGGCGGTCGACTAATTAATATTAATTAATTTGAAAAGTATATGTATTGTTTATTTGAACGGTTGACAAAATTTTATCCTATTTTATCACTTAAATACTTCTGGGACAAAAAAATATTCCGCTTGTTCCACTTATATATATATATATATATATATATCAAATTCTTTTTAAAGATTAATTATATATAAATTTATGGTGTTCGATATTTTATAATTTTTATGGTAAAATTGATCATACTAATTGTTTAGATTGGTTTAAATCGTTAACGTCGTGAAAGTCTAAGATGTATATCAGTTACACGCAACTCAAGCGAGTTCTCTCTCGCTCGGTTATCGTCTCCTCCAATTTCAGACCGGAAATATGGCCGGAGAGTCTCCGTCCGCCGCCGCATTTTTGGCTCGTTCAGGTACTGTTCCTATTTGGACCCCACTCGGTTTTGTTCGATTTTCCGATCATTGTTGCATTTGTCCTAATCGATTTTGAGGATTGGTGATAGATTCAAATTTGCCTGCGAACAAATCCTTAGATTGTCCGTGTGATGGACTATTGTGAGCAAAATTGCATCCAATGGATCGGTTTACTGCTGAATGTGAATTCTCAGACAGGATACAATGCTAGCGATATTTGAAATCTGGATACAATTCTCAGATAATGACTAAGCATCATTGTGTAGAAATTGGACCGGTGAATGCCTTACCGTTTTATCGAGTTTGTCCTTCTTGTTCTGATTCACATTCTGGAAAATGCCTTTCCTTCATATCTGTGAAAATTTCTCCTTTTCCCTGGTGCAAACACGGAGCTATAGATGTCTTCCTGTCTGTACAAATAGATGAAATGGATCATAAAACCATTTAGGTGACCTAAGAAGCGAATTGGTTTGCTCTTAGACCCATGTGTTAATGAATAGATTCGATATTCTGGCCTTACCCATTTATAATCTCCTCTCGGGTTCCATCTCAGGGCACTCCAAACACTCTGATGGGTCGTTTTTCTCTCTGCACGTCTCTCGTATTTGCATCAACTCCTCTTCATCCGACATGATAATCTCCATCATTTCAGAGCCTAAACTCGAAGCCATCTGCCTAGACAGATGAATGCTCTTTTCCTTATTGTGGTAAGCTGAACATGCATTGTAGATCGTAACATTTAGCATTTCTGACACACTGAGTTGAAATGCTCATACCATGTTCGTATGCGCTAGAAAACGAGGGTCCTATCTGATAGTAAGGCATGCGAGACTGAATTCCAGTGTCCCTAGTCTACGCTAGTGATCTCCTGATCCTTCGAGTTGCTGGGGCGTATTCTGGTCCGACTTCTTGTTTCTGATGCCATTATGCTTTTCCTTCAGGTGACATGGTTGAAGAACTTGCTCCTCACTCCTTATAATCAGAGTGATCTTGCATTAAAGATTTGCCTCCCTCTTCTTTCAAGGGGAAAGTCCTGCACTATCACCTATGGCACACTCTCAAACAAACTCCCAACATACGCGGAAAAGGTTTTGTTCGGCGCACCGAGCTTTCTCTACGTCTCCTAGTGTAAGTCAAACTGTCCGGAGGCTTATCAGATCGATGAGCAGAAGGAAGAAGAAGAATTGCTTTCTCCACGGGAGAACTTGTTGTTGAGATCGAAAAAAAATCATGCAGCACGAAAACTACATCGAACAAAGATGTGTAAGTTGTCAAATTTAGTGTTTCTGTTGACTTGATAAATTCTTTGTCTAAACATTTTGACCCTCTTTTGATTCTGCTACAGGAATACGATGCAGACAACATGTTTGGGTTGTGGTAATATACAATCTCGATCGCCTATACTTGGTTGTTTAGAGGCATGCTAGAGGAGCGAGTAGTCATTTCTCTCTTGGTAAAACCTAAACTAGAATCATTGAGAGACCCATAAAACATAAAGTTTCTATAAGAAAGTGATCTTTAAAAAACTCATGAGACTGCCACTGACATATATTGTTTTCACCATCACAGAAAATATCATTCTCTTTATGTAGAGCAGTTTGTATATAAAGTTCATAACCACTTCTATTTATCCAAGTAAAAAAACTTATATTGTACGTTTTCTAAAGTTGATGTTGGTGACATGAGCTGAAGCCTAGTAGAAGATAAATGAAAGTGTATTTTCGGTTTGTGTATGGACTAACTTATGTGCATATAACAGTTTGAAGCAAGAGCTGGTCGAGTTGGGAAACTCGTGATTGCAAACCTCGTATAAGCTCACAGCGACGCAGTAACGTTCCTCCACTAAAGCGGCAGAGCGTTCTCGTGCTTCTTGTCTCTTTTTCTTCTTCAAAGATTCAACGTTTATATACCCAATCTTCCTGAAATGCTACTTTGCCTTGGAGTTTTGTTGTCTCGAATTGGAGCTTTTGTGTTGCATAATGGCTGCTTTTTCCTCGCGAAGGTACACATCTTAGTTGCTTAATCCGTGAAAATTACATGGTAATAACATTTTGAAACTGTTGATCTCGACTTTTAACTCTTCTACTTTCGTTAACCATCTTCTCATCCAGCTGAAATATCTCGCGTTTTCAGGATGACTACCAGGTTTTGGACGGGCGAAACATCAGTGAATGGGAACCCATAAACCAAATCTTCTCCCTCTATTGAGCCTCTTAGGGTGCTGCAGTAATGTTCAGTCCACAAGAACTGGTTTGTCGTTGTTGATCTTTGGATCAACAAGTTATTGTTACCTTCAAGACTTGACTTGAGAACTTGTAGACAGATGGTGCAACAGATGACAATTCAGATGCATTGTCTGGGCCATATGGTGATAATGAATTGAACATCTAACACAGCGTCGAGTGTAGACATTTCGGTTTCGATCCAATTCGGTTTCATAAATAAATAAATAAATAAATAAATAAATAAATATATATATAAGATTAAAATTAAAGAACTTTCGTTTGATTAGCTTTCTTATATTTGTTGAGAGGCATGCTAGAGGAGCGAGTAGTCTTTTCTCTCTTGGTAAAACCTAAACTAGAATCATTGAGAGACCCATAAAACATAAAGTTTCTATAAGAAAGTGATCTTTAAGAGGAGTGTTTGGGCGGTTAGATTTGTTTTCGACCGTTTAGCGATTTAACCTCTAACACCATATAATAAGATAATGGTCATTATGTATAATTAGTAAGAACGGATTTGAATATATAGAAAAAACCCTAACTATAATTAATCACCTTATTACCATTATATATATATATATATATACACACATTTAAAAGAAGGTGGGGACATGTCTTAACCCCACATTTCATGTCATGTTTGGCATTAACGTTGTCGTCGTCACGCATCACCTCTGTCTCTGTCTAGCGTTGTGCAAATAAATGGGCCACGTTCGTTTTTATCTTTCATGACTATCACTTACATCCGTACGTCAGAATGATTGCGTATTTTATATTTTCCAAAATATCGTATTATAATTTAAATATTTCATCTCGACCCATCACGGTTTCTCTAACCCTAAACTGTACGTGTATCTCTTGTTTTAAAACTCAAGCCGATGTTATATGAATTATGAAGAATTAAAATGGAATGAGAAAAATTTCTCCTGTATATCGTAATCAAATGAATAACACATCTGTATACTAAACTGAACCAAACCGAATTATACCGATCTAATTGGTTCGTTTATATTATAATTTCAACGTGAACAATGTCATGCAATTTGCGTAAAAGCTTGTAGTTTTGACTTTTTCAATGATTTCAGATGAATTTAAATTATAAAATCATACTCTTTCATCAAATGTTTTTATTTTATAAATAGAAGAAATAACCCAAAACCCTAGATTCGTGCGAGGGTGAACAAAACACGTTGAACTAGACTTTGAGAAAATCCCAATCTTTAACCCCCCCAAATGACACACACACATATATATTGTAATATGATATTATGCAAAGTTTATATTTTTCAGTCGAAATTATTCTCCATCGTAGGCGAATTTACTGACCCATTAGAAATTTAGAAATTATATTTTCATAATTTTTATAGATTTGACGCATAAATCCGAATATTTCCTATAATGGGAAGATAAATGAACCACCGTCAGAAGACTAGAAGTGAATATATCAGTTTTCGATTTATTTAAAGCCACCCATTTTTTGTTTTGAAAAAAAAAACTAGAATCATTCGATTTTTTTATATGGGGTTTAAATTCGATTCTATTCACTTTTTATTGAGATATATTCAAATTATAAATAATATTTCGGTTTGATGTTTTTTATTATTATTTATATTTAATCCATGTTCAATTCATTTAATTTAAAAAATTATTAATTTGGTTTCTAAATCATATTCAATTCGATTATGATTAAATATTATTTGATTCTTTTGATTTTATACTCGAACCATCAATGCGCCTCCAGTGTTGGGAGAAGTTCATGTTCTAAAACACCGACATATTCCTTCTTTAGAGAAAAAAAAGACGTTCAAATTTTTTCACCTAAATTTAAATCAAATTTTTACTAATTTTCGCAATGAATTTATCCCATAATATATATATATATATATATATATATATATATATTATAAATTCATTTGTGTGCAATAATTTAGGCCCCGTCGTACTATATGTCCAGTCGGGGATTACAGAGCTGCCGGGTTCAGGACGCAACGTAATGGGCCTTTCTCTGGCTCCGAGCCCACGTTGTCACGTGCTAAAGCCCAATTATTCAGGGCCTAATAATAGTGATATTTTAGTAATTTTCAAGCAACTCGAAGGGCAGTGACGACATTTAACAGATAAAGACAAAAGCTTAGACGACCGTAACTGTTTGTTATTTTTGAATTTAGATTTTTTTAAAAGAAAATTATTTTCAGATTTAGGTTGATATTTCGTATTTACGATTAGTTTGGTTTTTGTTTGGATCCTGTTTAATTTTGTTTTTTTTATCTGTAAAATATTTATTTAACGAATTATTTATTATCATTTTTTACATCGATTCAGATTCTGTTTATATCTATTTTTTTTTATTATGAAATCGAATTGTTCACGGTTGGGATAATCGAACGTAAATGGTTACTACGAAAACTAAGGCTTTGAATGAAGATGACTTTTATTTTGGGTTTTTGGTTTTAGTTTTTGAATTTTGGTTTTTAGTTTTTGGTTTTTGGTTTTTGGATTTTATATTATTTGAAAACTAAAAAAAAGTAACTTTTGGTTTTTCATTTATTTTTTCACTAAAATGGCTTTCGAAGTGTGTAAGAAAAGTAATTTTGTAAAAACTTGAATGTTGTTTTTTTTTTGTTTTTGGATTCTAAAAACTCCGAAAACGGTCACTTGACCAGTCCAAGTGAATTTTTTATTATTATAATTACTATATAATTAAGCAAAAGAATCTAATTTTTGACACGTCACTCCATTATTTGGTCTTACTTTATCTTTCACCTATATCTCAGTTTTTCTTTTTTCTTTTTTAGTTTACTATATTATATTCATTTTTTTATATATTTTTTTACTACCTATCTACACCAAAACATTCACCTTTCAGACAAAAAGATTTACCCTTTGATCTTTAATAATGAACTTGGAAACAAGCATATTTACATTTTTTTTTTGCACATATTCATTGATTTTATAGAGGTTGTGACTATATTCACAGTTAAAAAAGCCTAAAAATGTATTATCTAGAAATAGTATGTGTTCTCTCTTGCACGTACAGGGTTCGTTGTATGAAGCTCAGAACTTTAAGGAACAATATGATATTTTATTCATAATCCCAATAAAATATAGATATATAAGAATTTCAAGATAAATAAATAAATAAAAGATAATATCAAATATTAATAAATATAATTAAATATCTATTTTTTTATATCTGATAAGATTTTTATGATATACGATTACGGTATAAACTGATAACAACTCACGATGATAATATCCGTTGTCGTTCTCTATGTCACTTGGAAGTTGGAACTAAGACAAAGATCTTGCCGGCGGGCGGGGGCACGATGATAATATCCGTTGTCGTTCTCTATGTCACTTGGAAGTTGGAACTAAGACAAAGATCTTGCCGGCGGTCGGAGCTCCGGCAGCGGAGAATCGTTTCCACGGCGGAGGAGATTGTGAAGGAGAGATCGAGAACATTCATATTTCTATTCATATCTCTATGAATTCATTTGGCAGTTGGTAAAGGTTTTATATGTTGTAAATTCACGGTATTGTAATAACTTTAAAATTTTCATTATATTTTGATTAGTAGCGGAGCCAATAAAAATTAAAATGCCATTAGCGTTGGTTATATATAAAATTTTCACCAATATATTAAAGGAAAAAAATGCTGGGAACGAATTTCGGTCCATGATTTGTTTTAAAGTGAAGGAAAATCTCCAAAAATATCGAAAAATATTAATTAAATATCTTGTGCATCTACTTTTTAGTGTACACACATACACACATGACACATATATATATAAACCTTATACCAAGAAAAAAAAACATGCATGTAATGATAAGTTTTCAAGAAAGCCTTCCGATTTCAATAAACATCTATGGAAATTAATTAAATGTTTTTTTTATGCCATTTATATAATAATCATATAAATGATATTTCGAAAATTAAATTTAATCAAGCATCACGAGTCAACCCAAAACAGTGGTCGAACTTGGCTCCACCCATTGGATAATTTCTTATTATAGTTGCCTTTCTTTACTCTCTTTTGGTATGCGTCCGTTTAGACAGAAACAACGAAGAAATATGCATTACCCGTATCTTAAATCTTATATATATATATATATATATATATATGTATGTATATATATATGTATGAATGTATATATATATATGCCTTTGGATCAAAGCAGAGTAGCAGCGAGTGTAAGAAAACACAAAGAACAATGGAGCAAAAGATGATTGCTTCAGACCCTTTTCTTGTTTCTCTTACTGCATTGCTGCCAATTCCTTTGTTTCATACTCATCAAACACGTGAAATCACGAGGAAGCAACTTTCCTCCGTCACCCAGAAAGCTTCCGATAATCGGAAACCTTCACCAAATCGGAGATCTTCCGCACAAATCGCTCCAAGAACTCGCCTTCAAGCACGGTCCTCTCATGTCCGTACACTTTGGAAACACTGCTATCTCGTGGTTTCTTCCGCTGATGCCATCGAAGAGATCACTAAGAGCCATGATGTCGGTTTCTCTAACAGACCCCCGAACACATCTCTAACTCCTCTCAAGGGTTCTGGTCGGGACATGGTGTATTCTCCTTATGGAGATCACTGGAGGCAAGTGAGGAAAGTGTCTGCTCTTCATTTGCTGAGCAAGAACGTTGTTAAGGGGTTCCAGAGTGGAATAAGAGACGAGGAGATATCGGATATGTTGAAAACTATCCGGCTCTCATCCCTCAAAGGCTCGGATATCGACTTATCTGACGTGTTCCTGTCCCTTGTGAACAACGTCGTTTATAGATCTTTCACGGGCCGTAGATACAAAGAGGTTAAAGGTATGAGCTTTGGAGAGTGGGATCTCAAGTTCAAGAAGCTCATGGGAGCGTTTTGCTTCGGGGATTTGTTCCCGAGCTTCGCATGGATGGACGGACTAACGGGTTACACGAAAAACCTAAAGAGAATCTACAAAGAGTTGGACGTTTTCATGGAACATCTCATCAGCGAGAGCCGTGGACAACATAGTTACTTGGATTCTCTTTTCCAACTCAAAGAGGAAGAGAAACTCGAATACCTTGACGATATCAAAGCAATCGCACAGGTAAAAGCCCTAAACCCTAAACCGTACACTCACTCAAATGATTCACCGTTATGTTTTTGCTTGTTCTTGATTTGATTTGCGAATTCTTTTTCAGGGAATATACGTTGCAGCGGTAGAATCTGTTGCGTTGGAGTTAGACTGGATAATGTCTGAACTCATAAGGCACCCCGATTCAATGAAGAAGGCGCAGGAAGAAGTGCGTCTTGTCGTCGGAAACAAGCCCAAGATAAGCGGCAACGACATTGATCAGATGCATTACTTGAAATGTGTTATAAAGGAGACAACTAGGTTACACCCTCCAGGCATCATCCCACGAGAAACAACTGAAACTGTGAGGATATACGGTTATGAGATTCCGCCCAAGACAAAGGTACTTGTCAACGCACACGCTATCCAATCAGATCCCAAGATTTGGGAAAGCCCTAACGAGTTCGTGGCCGAAAGATTCGAGGGGACGAAGATAGATTACATGGGCAACCATAGGGTTTCATCCCTTTCGGGTTTGGCCGTAGGAACTGTCCAGGCATGTCGTTTGGTGTCTCCTTGCTCGAAGACACGACAGCGAATCTTTTACATTGGTTCGATTGGGAGATGCCGAATGGTTTAGAGCCACGAGACTTGAACATGGACGAGACGTTTCAGTTCGTTGTCTCGAGAAAGTACCCTCTTCGGCTCGTTCCCGTTGCTCGGTTTCCCCTTTGATTGATTTCTTTGTTTCTGGTTTATGAAACTATACGTTTTTTTATATTATTTAATTTGCATTTCCATAATTAAGAACGTTTTGATTTAAAAGATTGTAATCCATATGAATAAAAAACTTTGCATTTCCTTGTAACGCACATTCGTATCTCAAGTTATTATATATGTATAACATATATATATATATATATATATATATATATATATATATATATGTGTTTAATACATCGTATATTGTTTAAGTTAGACATATTCACCATTTTGTAGCGATTTGATCTATAAATATATAATCATATCTACAAAATTACATTAGATACTAAATAAATACGAATTTAATAAGTTTCTAATATATAATTGTATACATATATACATGCAATACATTGATTCTTTTGGCATGAACCGGGACGTTCATTTTATAATTAAGAAATAATTCAAATGGAAGGTCTCTTTTGATACTTTATAATTCAAATAGCTATTTTGTTATAAAATAAAAACTATTACGCCTGTAGTTGAATTTCACTAAAGTTTAGGGGTATACATTAAATAGAAAAGTTGCTGTAGCTTAGCTTGGTTGGCCGTCGGGGACCGAATTCTGGAGAACTTTCGGTTTGACCTCCATACTTCCCTTATTTACGGCTATGCCCCTTCCTGAATCGCCTTCATCTGTCATCTACGCCGCGAAGTAAAAAGCCGAACCGATCAATTCGAGTAAATCTAACCAGAACCCTGCTTGTTGATTTCCTCACTGTTCATGTAAGTTCTTTAAATTTCTGTTCTTTTTTTTTTTGGTGGAAATCGATTTCTGTTCATTGTTTTGTTTATCATGTTGGACCCGCTGCGAATCAGTTTTCGACGATTCCAAGGACTCATGCTTTCTGGGTCCTCGTGGTTGCGATGAAGTTTGGTGCCTTATGGGTTTTATTTTATGTACGGATACTGAATTTAGTTTCTGTATATTCGTGTAGAGATTTCGTTTGCTGCTTTGGTATGTTAATTTCTCGGTTCACGAAGGTTGGATATCGAGTTTTCAGACAGCTCCACTGTGGTGAGTTCTGTTTCGAGTGTTTGCAACCATTCAATGGAATATGACCTTATGGTTACACGAACTGGCTGGACTTGTGTGATAATGGTGAACACTGGTTGTGGTAAATAGAAAATAGTTCTTTGATGGGTTTTGGATCATTGGAGCGTGTTTATATCTCTACGAATGATCACAGAAAGGTGGTTTCCTCTGTAAATCCTTACAAAGTGATGAATCAGATCATCTTGTTGCAGCTTTCTTTGAAATTATTCGATGATTCCTTGGATGTGAGTGCCAAAGTTCTAACCTTTATGCTGGAAAATGCGATTTTAACTTGGTTGATGACTGCTGGAATTCCTCAAGATATGAATGGGAAAGGTTGAAAGATTGAGCAGAAGAGCCTCTTGTTTCTATGAATTGGTCTTCTTGCTGATCGTTTTTTATATCTCCAGTGGGCTTTTTATCGGGACCCAAGTCTTTAGCAGGCAACAGAGGATGCATTCAACTATTGGTAGATGATTTTCCTTTCCTCTGGTTGAAGTGAAATGAGAGGTGAAAGCCATATTTTCTTGCATTTTCGAATGATTTAGCTCATTGAAAGCATGAATTTCGCAGGCAGACAGAAGGGTTTTCCACAATTCCTACATGCAGAGATTTCGACCCTTTTCTGAGTCTACCGCTAGTACTTCACAGCAAGACAATGAAGCTAAGCAAACGTAAGTGGTACGATGTGTAATGTGCATTTTCTGCTTATTCCAAGCAATTGGGTCTAACTTGAAAAGCTTGATCTTTGACTGTTTTGTTCTTTAAGCTCAAAGGTTACTAAAATTGCAGTTTTAACTCTGTTGACTCCTTTGTATGGTAGATGACACACTTAAGATCATAAGTAGAGATGGGTTAAGGGGCAGTTCTCACTTCTTGATTGAATGTGAAAGATCATTGACAAGTCTGAGTTTACTGGTCGTCTTTACCTTTGGTTCTTCTCTGTCATTTGGGCATGCGACTTTCTTATTTGGGCATGCCATGTTTGTAAATGGGCTAACTCATCTCGGAGCATAATTCCCATTCGCTCGTAAAGACAGGTTTTTTTAGTTTGATGTTGTGAAAATTTAACGCATTTCTTGCACTTCTCGATCTCATGGATGCTTTTTGCACAGGATAACTGTAATTTTTGTTAGCAAAGACGGGGAAGAGAAGCGCATCAAAGTCCCAGTCGGAATGTCCATGTTAGAAGCTGCACACCAGAACGACATAGAACTCGAAGGTAAAAGACCCGACTCAGTGTTGAATCTTCACTCTAGTCATTTCCTAAGAGCCTCTTCATCTACTTCCTCCTTGTTCCTTGCATATAGCTTTCGGTTTTATTCAAGAAAATCAATCCCCATTGGAGATTTTCCAATTGTTGAAAAGTTTGAAGACTTTTTGTTTTCAGGAGCATGTGAGGCATCACTAGCTTGTTCAACATGTCATGTTATCGTGACGGTACTTTCACCACACTCTGCATCAGACTAGCATTTCTTCCTGTGTCTGTTTACTGCAACAAATGCCATTGCAGGACACTGAATACTACAACAAGCTCGAAGAGCCGACAGATGAAGAGAATGACATGTTGGATCTTGCTTTTGGTCTAACCGAAACGTAACTTCTCTTTGGTCGAATTGAACTCTCTCCCTATACAAAGAATTGTCAGTCTCATTAAAAAAAATTGTTTTTTTCCCCCATCTCTTAGGTCTCGATTGGGATGCCAAGTGATTGCAACGCCAGAGCTTGATGGCATTCGGCTAGCGATTCCTGC